TTTTTTTTTTTTTTTTTTTTTTGTCCCATACTTACAAATGATTAACGAGAAACCATTTTTACATTCAAAGTTAGTCCCTTGGTTTTTCTAAAAAGTTTGTTTTTTGTAATAATCTCTTAAGAGATCAAGAGATTATAGCCATCTATGGAGGTCACGTGATCTGATGACAAGCAAAGATTTCAGAATAATTGCTATATCTGCCGTTTTTGTGGTAAAATAGAATATATTATACTTCTATAGTCTAAGTTGTTTACAATGTATTTATTGCAAAATATAGATCTCATACGAAGAGTCGTTATCCCTTTAAGCAAAATGTATCTTAACGCGACCGAAATGTTTTGCTAAGACATCTCAATAATCTATCATCCGTCTTAACACTAGGACTTTCTGTGATTTGTCTCACCAACGGCCTGAAACAGTTTCCTGGTCCACGTTGTGTTCAGCACGGCTCTCCGCCTCAGCTGGTCAGCTAGCTGCCCACACAGTACCACACCACCGGCCATGGCCGCAAACGGCAGAGCAGAGTACACGCCATTCTGGAACGGAATCTTACGTTAAGCAGGCGCCTCTTCAAAAAAAAAAAAAAAAACAATTTTGGGCATAGTATAAGGCCCAATGCAGAATAGATGATCCGAGTACTAACTGATCCGCCGACTAAATATGGCCGACCACAGTTCAAAAGAGATGCCGCCGATTCCTGACGGTTCTTCCGCCTCCACACGCGCCATTAAACGGATTAAATCTTGGATCCGAGGTTTAATTGCTAGGCCCCTGCAGTGACGGCGCGTGTACAGGTGGGGAGACAGTACTTGGATCATCTATTCTGAATCGGGCCTATGTCACTTAACTAAGTCAACTTATGCTACAACGCCTTACTTGTTTTATTTCAAACGCCAAGACTTCCTTCATAAAAAGAGGCAGTGATGTCATGAGTGTGTAGTGACCCCAGTTATTACAAGTATGAGCCACGACTATTGCCCAGACGGCGGGAGACCTGGCAAACTGCAGCCAAGGGACAGCAACTCTCTGGAAAGACCAATTATAAGGTGTGAGAAAAGTTATCCACTATGCAAAGGCAGATTCAGCATTGTTAAATAAGGGGGACACGAGTAAATAGTAATATCGTTTTTGTACGAAAATGGATTAAAGTTTATCATTTTCATTATATATCGAAATGGTTTACTTAATCTGTGTTCATTGATGGAGTTAAAAGTGCATCTGACCTTTTCTCCAGGAGGATGTCCAATAGCCCTTTCTATGTATCTCCTCTCTGATTGGCTAATTCGCGGATGTCGTGCAGGAGAGTCAAACACAAAGATGTGCCAGCAACAAAGCCACAGAAAACACGTTGCACCTGACGAAAAATCAAGTGAAAGTTTTTTTTTATTATTTTTAGTTTCATTTTTGCAATATTTATCTAAAACATCACCCTATTTCGAAAATAAAGTTCACTTATGGCTCTGAACCTTGCCTTGCTAGGTCCAACGCACCGCAGTATGAACCCTGTGGGTCTTTTACTGCAGTAGTCAATATCACGTGAACCAAATACAATGGCTGACAAGAGTACACTCACCGTAAACGTAGAAGATAAATGGCCATCCTCCATCCAACTGTATCTCACACAGTACTCCAGAGAACGACAAGGCCACGATTATGCCAACAAATATACCTGCAATAATTAACATGTAATGCTTTTATATTCAGTTGGGAGTGTCGGAGACTTCAATGTGAATTCATACACGTTCGTGTTGTATGCAGTGTTATGTTTCGTAATGTAAAATAATGGCATGTAACGTAATCTTAACAATAGTTGACGAAAAAGGAGATGAAAGTTGTGACCGTAATATTGATAAACCAAAACAAGGAAGAAACAATTGTCTCAAAAAGAATGAATGGTTGATATGAAGGTGGTTGGCAATATTACAGGTTATTTATTGTCTGTTTTCATTGTTTTTACCGACCGCAGTCTTTATGTTTGCTCGGATGATTCGCCAAACCTTGACCAAGTTCGAACACAAAGTAAATCAATGTATTTGGCAATGCCAATATGACTAGATACCTGAGTAACAGAATGTCATCAGTTTACTCCGCTCCAATGGCGGCGCCCATTGGCCCCATAGTGTATGCATTGAAGGGAACACCACCCCCTGCAAAAGATCTTAAATCTGGCAGTGAGAGCTACTGATTTCTTAGTGCTTAAAGTGTGAAAAACAATCTCACCAAAAAATCTTAAAAAGTAATAATTATTCCCCTTGGCTGTTTTGTTGATTTATCTTGTTTGATACCAGTGACCATCAATTACATTTGTATGTAAATTTTGAGTGAAAGTCTTTAATAAATTTAGGGAGACAGATAAACCTGATCGAAAACGCAGATGTAGCTATATAACCTGTTCCTGAAATTACATCTTCTGTTCATATTTATTTTGATAACGTTTATGTTAATTTCCGTGATGTTAATAGCAGTGAGTTACGTCGTGGTGTTGGAGCCACATGTGACGTCACTCACATCTGCCAGTCCCATCAAAACCCGCACAGCAATCACGAGGTAAGGGTGTGTCCTGGCCGCAATCGGCGTCACAACCGTCATCGCTAACACAATCACCATGGCGGTGCCCAGCACGTGTTTCCCGCCATACCTTCCCGCCAACCAGCCGCCGAGGATCTGGGTACAGATGTACCCATAGAAGAACGAGCTCAAAATGGTGCCTCGTAGACTTTTATCCCAGTCAAATTCACCCTCCTAGAATAAATAGAAACGAGTTGAAATATATAGTCACATTCAGTTTATGTTTGCCTTTAAATGGTTTCTTTTCGACTCGAATCAATTAGCAATCTTTTTAATAACCAGGCTGTTGTGACAAAAAAAAAGGTCTTAATCGTTTCCTCTTGGTAAGTGTCTTGAACGAAACGGGAAGCATCACTTTGATAAAAAAAAATGCCATGTGTAGTATGGAATGAAATAATTTGGCTTATAACCAATCTGTGACGAGAGCATACGCAGTTTTAGTAGAAGATATTGCATGGAACTTCTACAGGAAATACTAGAAAAAAAGATTTCAGAAGTTGATATCTGTAAAAAATTTTCCTATCGTAAAATTTTAAAAAGATGGAAGGTTAAATGTGTAACAGTTGTGACACACAATGTAAAGAGGAAAAGTAACGAAAATATATTCAACCACAGAGTTCTATAAAAGAATGACTGTGAAAATAAAGATAATTCAGTGCATAGTTGCACGGAAGAAAGAAATGATATTGAGTTATATTTTGAACTATAACAATTTTATTCTTCATTTTAAGTTGCACACGTGGATTTGGGAAATACATTTTAAACAAAATGCTTCTTATTTTTGCGTTTGAAGAAATGCCCTGTGTTAACATCTTCTACGGGTATGGAACTGGTGTGATAGGGAGCATTCACATCGAGAAGAGCCGAGGTCTAGTAAGGCCGCGACCTAAATATGGCCGACCTGCATGAAAGGAAGACCGCTTAATCTTGTAATAGTCTCTCCGCCGCTCACACGCCTCCCCACGCGTTGATTCTCGACCGGTTGAATAAAGGGAACCGGAGAAGATCAGCATTGGTCAGAATTGTGCCGGAAGTGACGTGCAGTGGTGTTAGATACGAAGCTGAGTGGTCATTTTAACATAGAGGTGAACGGCAGTGAAGACGGGTTGTCGGAGGAAAAAGAAGTTTTCTAAACAACATGGTAAGATAACACTTTTTCTTTACGCATTTTGGGCAGAGAAAACTTGTAGAAATAATAAATGCATGATATGAAAACGTGACACGGAACTTGAAGGTGCAAAATCGTGCTTAATTGGCGGTCAACTTGTTTTAAAATGAATGCTGCATCGACCGCCATTGCGACAAAGAGTGTAAATGGAAAATAATTCCCGGGAGGCTGTAAATCGTTGCCATGTGGAAATTTGGCATTAATATAATCCGATATGTCCATATCTAAGTATTTTTGGGGTGTATGAGCTGCAATTAGAACGAAGTTTTAGAGGTCTTGAAGGACCTTGTGAAAACAAGGAA